CACTCACGGCTACAAAGTTTCAATTATAGAAGGTAAATAAATCCCAGAATTAAAAAGAAAAAAGAAAAAAAGGAGAGGCTGGGAGCTTCCGTCACCGGGGGGCTTGGCCAGCCTGAAAACAGCCCTCAGCCCCTCACCCAGACTGGCCAGGCACCCCAGTGGGGACCCCCCACCCTAAAGGGGGTGTGGCCAGCCTGAAAACAGCCATCAGCCCCTCACCCAGGCTGGCCAGGCACCCCAGCGGGACCCACACCCTGATCCTGGACACCCTTCAGGGCAAACCAGCTGGCCCCCACCCGTGCACCAGGCCTCTATCCTATATAATAAAAGGGTAATATGCAAATTGACCCTAAGAGCAGAACGACTGGGAATGACTAGTCACTATGACACACACTGACCACTAGGGGGCAGATGCTCAATGCAGGAGCTGTCCCCTGGTGGTCAGTGTGCTCCCACAGGGGGAGTTCTGCTCAGCCACAAGCCAGGCTGATGGCTGCCAGCACAGCGGTGGTGGCAGGAGCATCTCCCGCCTCCTCAGCAGCACTAAGGATGTCCGACTGCAGCTTAGGTCTGCTCCCTGCTGGTAAGTGGACATCCCCCGAGAGCTGCCGGGCTGCCAGAGGGATGTCTGACTACCAGCTTGGGCCCGATCCCCCAGGGAACGGGCCTAAGCCAGCAGGTGGACATTCTCCGAGGAGTCCCATACTGCAAGAGGGCATAGGCTGGGCTGAGGGACCCCCCCCCCCTGCCAAGTGCACAAATTTTTGTGCACCGGGCCTCTAGTTGTTTATAAAAAGGATAGGGAAATGGTGGAGGTAGAGCTTCCCAGGCCATTGTAGGACTTTCAGCCATGGCCCTGGGAACAGGGCCAGAAAGGAGTTGAGGCATGACAGAGCCCTCCTGCTGGCTCTGCCCAGCATGGGTGAGGGGGTGCTGCTGTGGACTGGACATGGGGCTCTCAGGCTGCAGCACAGTTGACATCACAGAATCTACTGTGAGTACTGTGAGGTCACTGCTAGACCAGGGGACATAGAAATTCAGACAGAAAGCAGCATTGTATTGATTGTATTCAGACCCTATGATCTTTATTTAAAATGCAGTAAGGAAAGCTGGAATAGGCTCTCCAGGGATCCTCCCCTGAGCCCTGGTCCGCTTTGCAGCTTCTGGGTCCTACTAATAGGGTTCAAAGGTCACTATCTCCATGATCTCAGATGTTGGACTGTCAGTCATCTCCAGTCCCTGGCCACTCTCTCCTATCTCTATGATGCTCTCCATGCTGTTCCTTCCCATTGTCTTAGCCAACTTGTCCACATCCCTGCCGTGTGGTGAGGTCACTGTTTTTATTGTAAGATTGGCTTTGACATTCCTCCAAAAAGAGCTGATACTGCTGAGTCTTTTGGTTGTGGAACCTGAGTTACTTGTAGACAAGCTCCTCCCTGGTTTGTGAGAGGTCCTGGAGTCGTTGGTGATGGGAGCAGAGCTGATGACTCTGTGCATGGTGACAGGCCTGCTGCTCCCCGGGCTGCTGAAACGTGGCTCTTTTTTGTCATTTCTCTGCCTGGCTAAGAACCAGCTAGATGGTTTTCGAAGGATTTTGTCACCCCCTGGCTTTTGGTGGCTTTCACTTGCCCTGAGGTGATGGGGACTCCTGGGATCTTTGTTCCTTTCTCTTCGCTCCCTCCAGTCCTTTCTGCTCTTGCAGGCTTCAGCCGTGGCTGGGGACGCTCGCTGCTGCCTTCCGGCCTGTTCACTCACACTGCCTTCCTTGGGCAAGGTTGCGATGAGAGGTTGTGTGGCACGGCCAATAGCTATTTCTCCAACAGTCTTGCTGGTCGGCTCTGCCTTTGCCCTTGCAACAACCATGCTGGTCTCTGGGGAGAGGCTAGTGTTGGAAGGACTCCCTGGGACCTTATTGGCAGCACCTGCAAAGGCCATCTTAATGCTCTTGGGGGACATGTTGGCAGCATCTGCAATGGCTATGCTGGTGCTGCTCCCCCCTGGACCCTTGGCGGCTGCCCCTGCTATGGCCGTACTTAGTTGTTCAAGGGCAGCAGATGTGGTTATTGCCATGCTCAGAGCGCCTGCTGTGGTGCCTGCTGCCACCCCTGCTATTGACACTTTGTCAAGCTCCATAGGTTTTGGGTTTTGGGTGGCTACATCAGGCATGGCAGTGAATCTGTAGGAGTCATATTGGATATCCTCCCCTCCAGCAAAAGCTGCAGAAGTGGCCCCAGCCACCTCAGAGACCACGTGGAGGCTTCTGATGCTGACCTGGTCCTGATCCTCTTTCCCTCGGAGATCGGCCACTCTCTGGCTCCTCTTGTCCTCATCCTCAAACACAGGCATGCATGCCATGTTCCCGGCAGGGTTGGTGTAGGTACTGTTGTGACTGTCCATTGGTGTCTGTAGGAGGTGAACGAGGTTTTCCCAGCCGGCAAAGAGGTCATCCCAAGCGTCCCGAGGGGAGCACAGCTGCAGGTAGCAGGAGCGGCCAGTGGCGAACTTCAGGCGCAGCTGTTGTTTCTCACGGTCGTGAATGGAGATCCGCACAAACTTCAAGGGAAGGAGCCTAGTGAGCTCCAAGGTCTTTGCAGCCTGGCGGCTTTTTCCCGTGGGGACTCTGCTGCGCCCTGCATGCTCTTCCCAGCCGGTGGCCGGGCGGGCCAGCAGCATAACGTCTGGGAGTGGGAGGATGGGGCTGGTGGACGCGATGCCCATGGTCAGAATGCGGACATGGTTGTGCACATCGACCACCTCTCCCCTTCTCGTGATCTGGATGAAGTCGCTCTCAAATATAGGTGCGTGCTTGAAGATGTCATATTCTCCCTTCTGCAGTTGGCGCTGCAGTTTTCCCATGGTGGTGTTGAACATGCCCATGTTGGAGCTGTTCTGGGCCGTGTAATATGGCAACGGAGACTCCCTGTTCATGGCTTTGTTATATCACAGCAAGCAGTGCTGATGAGGCAGGTTCCTGGGTCTTCTCTTTCTTGGCCTCGTTGGCAGCAGAGGGAGCAGTAATGATCCTGGGTCTCGCAGATGGCTCTGCGGTCTCTCAACCCCCCCCAACCCACAGGGACCCCTCCCAGAGGCAGGGTGGGGATGGGGCACAGATGCTTGCCGTGGGGATGCTAGAGGGCGCCTGGAGCCCAGACTGAACCTCATCAAGAATATAGAGATGTAGAGTGGGCTTCCTCTCCGCTTCACCTCGCCTCCACCTCTGATTTTTTTTATTTCCCCAAGAGGCTATGAACTCCACTCTCTCAGCCCACACCCCCTGTGTGGCTATATTTATACTCCACTGCCCTTTGTGACCTGTCACTGTCTCCTACCCCTTTGTGCTCATCCCCTAGCCACCCCCTCAGGACAGGGCCACTGTCATTTCCCCAGACACCCATTGACCCCACAGAGGACAGGCTCACCCTGCCAGGGACTCAGGTGGGTTCCAAAATAAAAACTGGACAAAATCTGTAGGAATGTAGGGTGATGGGATAAATTTGAACCATTTGAGCTCAAGGTTTAATTTAATGAAATAACCCAGAATTGGCAGTCTTGGTCCCTAGCCCATCCTTTCATAAAATCTCAGTAAATGTTAATGACAACAACCTTTAATAATAACTTTAAGAATTGCTTCCCCTAGGCACCATGCTATGTTCTTCACACAGAATGGTGAGAATCCATTGGGTTTGGTGCTGTTGTTACCCCCCCCCCCCCTATTTTACAGGTGAAGAATTTGAGGTTGTATCACTTGCCTAAGTTCACACAACAAATGGCAGTAGAGGCAGTATTTGAATGCAGGTCTAGCAAGTCTTTGTTCTGAACCACTAAGTACTTTGCCTCACAAAGGAGGCTTGGGCTGACCAAATGTTTTCAAAGTGGACTGATTTAACTACCTCCAAGAAGACCCATTTTGTGCATTATTAGAAGTTGCATGATTAATTCTATTATGTGTGCATATTATGGAGAGAATCCAGGGCAGTGGTTGGGCTGAGCTGGGAATTAAATTTTCCAGTGGGCCGCCCTGGCCAGTGTGGCTCACTTGGTTGGAGGGTTATCCTGTACACCGAAAGGTTGCGGGTTCAATTCCCAGTCAGGGCATATACCCAGGTTGTGGGCTCACTCCCTGGTTGGGGTACCTACAGGAGGTAACCAATAGATGTTTCTCTCTCACATTGATGTTTCTCACATTGATGTTTCTCCTCTCTCTCTCTCTCTCTCTCTCTCTCTCTCTCTCTCTCTCTCTGAGTTTTTCTGGGACTGGGACCTTGGCACTTTGCATAACACCCATTCTCCCCTCATTTTTTTCTGGATATTTGAAATACATATTTGCAATAATGAGACACACATCTGGACATTATAATGAATGCAATTCAAGTGAATACTTCAAGAGAAGTTCTGTGGCCGAATGGAAAGGTGTCCATGGCTCAAGTTGAACAACAGGTGTATGTTTTAGGCTTTTGTACTTTCAGAGAAACTGATAGTTGAGGTATTTAGCAATTCAGATTTTATAACAAAATCTATCTTAACACCAAATAGTTGGTCTAAGGCCGTGGTCGGCAAACTGCGGCTCTTTGGCCCCTTGAGTGCGGCTCTTCCTAAGCCTTAGGAGTGCCCTAATTAATTTAATAACAATGTACCTACCTATATAGTTTAAGTTTTAAAAAAAAATTTGGCTCTCAAAAGAAATTTCAATCGTTGTACCGTTGATATTTGGCTCTGTTGACTAATGAGTTTGCCGACCACTGGTCTAAGGGATATGCTTGGTGCTGTGTTCCAGGGTTTGTTAATGAGAAATTGAGCATCAGATGCCACAGACCGGGGAACAGGATTGAGAGTCAACTATACCAGCTTGTGGCACCCCAAAGAACAAAGGGACACTTAGAAAATATTTAAGGCTAAATAACCACCCCACCCCTACCACCCCCGAGGGAGAGGAAAGGGGCAGGAAAATGACTAGACTTCAACAACCAACTGATTTTAAATCACAGAAACCAGCACAACACTTAAGTTTACCATATATTTGTTTCAATATTTATTATATTGACAGGAATACTAGGATAAATAAGTAATATATTTTTTCTTACAGAAAATTGTAATGATACTATTGAGTAGGATTAAACACTCTGAGAATTTCACAGAAACATCAGAATTTAAACAGACCAGAGTTCTCGTGGCCAGTGTGAATGACCTCTCACAGCTGTACATGCTCTGGGCCAGATTTCTATAAACATCTGCATGACAAAAACAATGCCATTCACATCCAATAATGCGAACGCCTAGGCATCACCTAGCTTCAAACGCACCTCTACTGAATGTGGTTTTCAACTGCAAGTAAAGGAAAATGGAATATTCTTTGGCTCTTACTGGCCTAGGAATAACTCCTGACCTAAACCACTGAGCAGAGTCCTAACCTTTGGAAGGCGGACTTTCTGCTTTCTTCCTGGGACAGAGGGCCTGCAGTCTTGCCCAGGAATTTTGCACTAATGCCTGAGTGCAAAGGGAAAGGAGGCCTGCTCTCTTGGCACAAAATGGCACTGCTGGCTGGCAAAATTCTGTTCTCCTGGGCTGACAAGCTCTGCCAGCCACCTGAACATTTTGTAAGACACTCCACATGATAGTAGTCCCTCAAACTCTCAGACGCTAGATCTGAGAAAAGTCTCGAACAAGTCACACCAGTGTTGTCAGAGCACACATCAGGAGAGCACAATGCTTAGTTATGAAACAAACGCCTTGCACACAGTAATTCCTGTACATAACAGCATATTGGCTAGAAGCACAAGCCTGGCCATTGCACAACTTTGCTAAAAGCCATTCTCACTCCATGTCCCCTACTAGTGACTGTGGGAGTGGCAAGGGAGGAGGTGGCCCCACCCACCCACCCACCCAAGATACAGACCCTTCTGCATGAATCCTAATGGTGGGAGTTCCTGTTTTTTGTAGAATCCAGATGAAAGGTGGGCAGGACACTAACCAGGGGTCATCCGGAGAATCCAAGAATGGCTGGTATGTTAAGGCCTAAATCCTGGAGTTGAGGCAAAAAATGCCCTTGCTCTGGTCCGAAGTCCGCTCTGGGGCAGAGTGGAGAGGCCCAGCTGAGTCACCGAGCCATCCTGCCTCCACAGTTCTTTGCTGCTGGGATTTGAGAGGAAGTCAGATCTCAATGGCTGCAGGGGTTTGGATGTAAAAGGAGGATGCAATGAGGAGTCCCCAGTTGCCCCCATAACCACAACTGCTTAGCTCTGCAATGTTCCTTCTTTTATCTGTTGGATAAAAAGGTTTCTCTCATCTTCTGGAGTCCGCCCATTCTGAGCCCGGACAATACACGTGGGCCGATGGAGGTTAAGCATGTATATCAAATGCTGCTTCTCATTCTTGAGCTCCTCAATTTGGGCCTTCAGTTCAGCATTTACACTCTCCAGTTTCTCCGACTCCTGAGGGACAAGCAACAGAGCTATTAGGAATTGAGCCAAGGTACAGCAAGGAGGGGGTGGCCAGGGAGTGGCCCCTGGGTGATAGGGTAGCATCTGGGACATGTGGGGTCTCATCTAGTTGGAAATGGCCTGCAGAGGCAACGCCATGGGCTCCCTGCTACAGTGCCCCACGAAGCCGGAGCAGCAGCCTTAGGTTTGGGAGAATCCAGACTCTGGAGAAGCCTTAGCACTTAGAGGCTTCTTTAGCGATGCCCTTGAGTTTCCACTCAAGGTTGAGGCAGGCTGTGACTCTAATAGTAATGAGGCTGCAGTGGAATCAATGGTTCAGAGGTCTCCTCTGATGAATCCAATAGCCCATGTGCAGGTCTTCTGGACCTACAAGGGCTTTGGGGGCTGAAGCGAAATCTGGGCTCATGGTGCTTAGTCTTCTGAGTCACTCATTTCACTGAGAAGCTCATCTCCCCAGAAAGAATGTACATGGCAACACACAAATTGTCTTAGTTTCACTGACTCCCTAAAGCAATCAACAGAACCCTTGGGGACCTGTGGAATCTGGGTGATGACTCTGCCCTGGCCTGTCCATACTTGGGGGAAAAAGACATAAATACTGGAAAGACTACAGCATGAGCTGCCCAGCCTGCCACAGATGCCGTTCCCTGTAGGAAGGGGAGCTGGCTGGATGCAGCCAGAAGCTAAAAGCCTATTGGGTGAGCCAAGGAGAAGGGCTGCAGAGTTAAGAATGACCCAGGAACACCAGGAAAGTTTAATCACTGCTTGTGGATTAAGGAAATAACTTGTTTTGAAGAGATTAATTAAAGGCGTTTCATAGTGAGCCAAATGAGAGCTGGCAGCTCCCTTTTCTCAGGAGAACGGGCGAGTGAAGCCTCTTTGGGCTGACATATCCTGCAGCCTGGAAACTGCTGGACATGTAGGGACTGGCCGCGTCTGCTGTGGTTTTTAATTCACACACCTGCTTTCATACATTCAGAGTCCCATTCATTGTGCTAACAGCTTTGCTAACTCCTCATTCAGCCACTGGCATTTCTGCTCCCAGCTACAACACCCTTCTTGGGTAAACACTTCTGGGTAGGAGGCTTCCTAACTCCCCTTCAGATCCTGACATGAGGTCGGTGGGGGACAGGCATGAGCAGGAGGTCAGGGCAAGGCAAGAAGACACTCACTTTCTGCAGACACTCTGTCTTCTCCTTCTTCTTGTTTCGGCACTTGGCGGCTGCAATCTTATTTCTTTCCCGTCGCCTCTTTTTCCTTTCATCTTCTTCAGGGGCTACCTGTAAAATCCAAGAGGCACCTGCTTAATGGGAGGCAAGAAATGAGACCCATCTCAAATACACTGCCTTTTATTGCCAGCAAAAACTGGCAACCCAGGGCAGCCATAATGGCAAGCCCCAGACTTACACAAAACCCCGCCACACACATACATTATTCACCCTTAAGAATGAATAATGAAAATCAGAGAGCTGTTAGTTAAAATTATATTGTCAATATTGGTAAATCAAAATGTAGCTTATTTTAAAAATGTATTTGGATTTTGAAATAGGAGTGTGATATCCAAATGGATAGCTATTGGTAATAACAGTAATCCTTTAGAACAGGAAACAGATTCTGTTTGGTAACTATGTCCTTTCCCCTAGAACCAGGAATGACTTCAGTAACCTGGCCACCTTGTCCTCTCCTCTCTCCTCCCCCCCCCCCGCCCCGTTATTTTGATTCAAGACCCAAGGGCAGCCCATTCATCTCTATCTTCACCTGGAGCATCAAAGCACCTACTTCCTGAATTCAGGAGATGCCCATGGGGCTCCTAGAGAAGAGAAACCCAAGCACAGTCCCAACCAAAGTGGCATTATCAGCCCATGGCTTGGTGCCACCAATGATTTAACTTGGAACCATCCATTGATTTAACCTTCCCCTGTGCTTCCCCCTGAGCCAGCCCTGGGGCTCCTCAGAGAAAAAAAACCCTATCCTATTATAGGATCTGGTGCTCTGGAAGTTCACTATGATCCTGACTTTGTCTGAGGACTGATGAGGAATCAGCAAAGTCTGGCTGCTGGACCTGGCTTCAAGACCAGAGTCCTGCTGGGGGGAACATCACGGTGGGCTGAGTGGGTAATGGTTTTTTAGGGTGCTAATGGCAGACTTTGTCTTGTCACTTGTCACTGCTCTGGACAGTGGGAAAGGGTGTGGGAGCCACACCTCAAACCAAAGAAATCCTGGCAGCCATACTTGCCTCACATCTGACTTATTACTAGTCATTTGGATTAGAGGAAACTTGACTTTGTTTGTACTGAGATGGAAGGCCTTGCAATTTAGAGAAACAATGCCCAAGGGGGAAATATTGTGAGAGAAATTCTACCTTTCATATCCTGGATCCCAGAACCACACAGGCAGACATTTAGGTTTAGACTAAATTGCCTTGAATCCCAGCTTGACTACCTATTATCTGTGAGACCTCGGGTAAGTTATCATGTTCTTCTGAGCCTCAGTTTCCTCATTTGTAAAACAGGATCAATAATCTTATGATGAGGGTCAAATTAGTAAACGTAAATGCTTTGCACAGTGTTCAGCTTATGATCAGTGCCATGTAAGCTTTAGTTATTATTAACATCACCATCTACGTCTTCATCAACAACTCAGCAATTCTAGTATTGCCTTTGACATTTTTTCCTTGACATTTCCTACAGACATTTTTGGGTAGGTGGGGGAGGACTCAGGGTTTTCTCATGTGAGGAAGTACTTGAAAGGAGAGCACATCTCAGAGTCACATTGTCAGAGATGAAAAAGCCTTTCCAGAGGCCATTCAGCTCAGTCCTATCAGTTTAACATGGAAACGAGTTCAACCAACAAATAAATACTGATCTATTCATGTAGTTACATGCCCAGGGAGACCTGGGAATCGCCAGTTCATGGTCAACAGATCAGTAGGTACGAAACCCTGATGTCCTCCAGGCCTTTGGTTCCTTGTCCTGTGTCGTCTCCAGGTCACAACTGCCTCATTGCACCATGTGGCCTCCCCAGAAGTGGCTGGGACTGGGGAACAGGCTCGTGCCGCCCAAATACACGGGATGCCTATGGATTTCAGAGGCTCAGTGTCTTATTTTACGTTGAGGATTACAGCAGCCAAGGGGACCAGAATATTCAATAGGTCAGTTGGTGCATTTTCTTCCCAGTAGGAAAATCTACTTGTTATACTAGCCTAAGGTCAGAAGATCACTTGAGGAACACAGAATCACAGATGGGTGGGTGGCTCTAAGGAGTTTTTCCACAAACCAGGCTGCCTACCTCTTCCTTTGGAGACCCTCAAAATATCCTTCAGAATGCTCTTCTTTCTATGGTGGTCCTACTACTTCCATTGCACTGTTATCTCAAGATATTTAATTATAAAGTTAAAATAAATATTCCCTTGTGTGTCATAATATCCAACCGGCACTGTCCACTATTGGGCTGGGTACCGATGACAGCCCCTCAGGTTAATGAGGGCCCAGCCAGTGCCCCTAAACACAGCATCATACAGTAGTCCCCTCTACCAGTCACTGAACTATCAGCCAGGTCTTTTGTTAGACCCCTAAAAACTATCATTTCTTTCACCCTTATATAGATTCATAAAGTCCTTATTTATAGAATCACCGCCCCTTTTATAGAATCATAAAGATTCTTAACCAACTTCCTTTAAAACTCAGTTCCTTTTTGGCCAGTTCCACGACTCCAGGTCCAAAGGCAGTGTTCATGCCAGTTAAGCCCCAAACACTCCCATCTTGTGCCCATAAGGAAGGCCAACAAAACACCCAAGACCTCAGCTCTGAGTTCTTGAGCCACCACAGCATCGCCAGCAATCACCCCTCATACTTCTCACCATGTCTGTTACTCCAGGTGTCTTGTAAGAGGTCGCTGAGTGGCGAGCAGTGCAAGTGTGAGGGACAGACGTGAACTTGGAGCAAAATCTGGTACCAAGGCTGTGAGCATTACACACAGTTGTGAGCGTGGCTGGGCGTCCTTGCTCCATAGTCTGGCCACCTGGGTCCTTGTATGATGGAATTAAATACACTTGGTGCTTTTTTAGAACGATTGGACACAGAAGGTGAGCTCACACAGGACCATGGCTTTAAATAACATCCATATGCTGGTGGCTTCCAACTCTGCACCTCTAGCCCGGATTCTCCTCTGAACTCCTATCCCACGTATCAAACTGCCTCCTCCCCGGGGCATCCAATAGGATGGACTCCTGTCCTTGCCCAATGTCCCAATTTCAGCAGCACATAGACGTGCCATCCTTACAGTTAGGCCAGAAGTTTTGGAGCCACCCTGGAGCCCTCCACTTGGAGCCCTACTCCATGTCCAATCTGCCAGCCAATCAGCTTTACCTTCCAGACAGACCCAGACGCGACCACTTCTCCACACCTCCTGCTTCCATACTGATGCAGACCTGCCTTTGTTTGCCCGGATTACTGCAACAGTCTCATTTCTGTATTCTGCTTCTACCCTTGTCCCTACTGCCCATTCTCAACATGACAGCCAGGGGGACCACTCTCAGTCCCCCTTTGCTGCTTTATTTTTTTCCTTTGCTCAGTCTCACATATTATGTATTTACTTCGTGTATTACCTGTCTCCTCCCAGCAGAAAGTAAGCTCCCTGAGGGCAGTAGTTTGTGTTTTTCACGCTGCAGCCCCCTGCATGTGGTAGGTGTGCAGGTGTAGGAAAAACACATGCTGAAAGGACAGACACCTACCTGGGCTTTCGTGACTGCCATCTCAAAGGGTCTGCTGCTGACAGTGACCGACTCCAGTGCAGAGGACATCCGGTGGCAGAGGTGCTTGTTCTGGATGGCAAACCTCAGCTCTTCCTTGACAAAGGGTGTCAGGTTAGCAAAATCCTCAAACACCAGTGACCCAGGAGGGGACAGGCAGGGGACGATGGCAGAGGCACTGACTTCCGAGGCAGAGACCTGGCCTGGGTGTTGAAGCATCATTTTGCTGAAAGACACATCGAAACCCAAACTACTTCAGGGATTGGGGGCATGGGGCCAACTCCCACCACACCTGCGACCTCCAGCCCAAGTCCCACCCCCAGGGAAAGTCCCACCCTCAGGCTTGTTTTGTTTTCATTTCATGCCATCCTCAGCTTGAGTAAAACAGGTTCTTAAAATACACAGGTCAGTGATGTGGATAAAATGCCTCACTGAAGTTGATCAGGGTTGGCGTTTCAAATTCTCAAAAGCATTAGTGTTGGCTGGTGTGCATACATGCAAATGTAGCCTCAAACAATACTGAAAGAGGAAGAGCATTTAAAAAAGTGAAACTATTATGTAACCTCATTTCCAGTCTCTTTTTGAAAAAAGAAACTTGGCATCTGAAATCAAGTTGAAGTTGTCAATAAGTGGAAGTAAAGCAAGACGTGGGGGACCCCTGAATGTAGTAAATCTCTCTCTGACAATTCTCCCTCAGGAAGTTGGATCCAAATAAATGAGCATGAGGATGGTAACCGTGGCAGGCGAGTTTCTTTGTGCCAGTCCTTGGCAGGAGCTGGGGGCTAGGGTTTCAGATCACAAGGGACCAGTAGTAGCCCCTTTGTAAAGTTAAGCTTAATGAAGCAAAGACCTCAGAATAAAGTGAGGAGCTAAGAATTTGGACCTCGTCTGGAGGTCTTGGTCAGCCCTGTGGTGTCTGTGCAGAGCCTTGGTCTGGGGGCCAAAGGGGACCTGGGGCACTGTCTCTGGTGCTAAGGGGCAGTGTGACCTGAGCTCTCTGAGCCTCAGTCTTCAGCACATTACTGAGAGTTCCTATAGCATGGGCACTGAGTCTCTGCTGTCACTCTATCCCAGAGCCTAGCACAGTGCCTGGCCCTGGCTGCTCCCAATGCCTGCTGACCACTGTAGACTGCCTGACTAAATACATGAAATCAGGAAGGGGTGGTCAAAGCAAATGGCTTCTGAGGTCCTATCTACCTCTATCATTCTACAGCCCAAGGAATCCAAAGAGACAATCCTATATACTAGTAATAAAAGCCTAATATGCTAAGTGTCCAACTGTTTGTTCGACCAGTTGCTATGATGTGCACTGACCACCAGGGGGCAGATGCTCTGACCGGTAGGTTAGCTTGCTGCTGGGGTCCAGCCTATTGGGACTGGGTGAGATGGGCCGGACACACCCTGGAACTCTCCTGCAGTCCCTCCCTGGCTCTGATCATGCACTGGTGGGGTCCCTCAGCCTGGCCTGTAACCTCTCACAATCCAGACCCCTCAGGGGATGTCAGAGAGCTGGTTTCAGCCCGATCCCCACAGGCCAGGCCGAGGGACCCCATGTACCGGGCCTGTAATAGGAAAATAAAAGGTAGAAACAGTAACAGTTCCATGGTCCCCATAAATTTCTTCCCACCATATACTTCCTCCGTCACTGGCTGTTCCTGTTCCCCCTTGTCTAGGCAGTCAGTTGTCCAGGGGCGATGAGGGTGGGGATTATCTAGTTAGGGGCTCCCTGGAGAGTTCTTCTCAATCTGGGGATCTGTGGTCCTTAAGACAAATCCAACCAGACAGGAAGCCCATCAACAAATTGCTAACATTTAATGAGTGCCTCCTTCATACCAGAAACCTAATGTGATTTATCTCATTTAATCCTCATGAGAACCTAGTTGAGTTAGGTCCTAGCACCATTTTATAGATGGAGTAACTGAGATTTATACAAGCTAAATCATTTGCCTAAAGTCAGTATGAGGCAGCATCAGGATTTGGAATTTGGTTTGGTTCCAAAACTCATGTCCTTAATATATAGAATATAGAATATCATTCCACATTGCAAAAACAAAAAACCAGAGCAAATTTTTCATGGGGGTGGGAGTAGGCATAGGGGTGGTGGGGGTCCCGGAACTAAATTGCTGGAGGAAAGAGCCACAGGGGAAACTTGAACCCTAGGTAATGAATTCGCTGATCTTTCTATGTCAGGGTGCACACACAGGCTGCTGCCCCCATTCTGGCATATATATAAGCGGGCCTTTTATCTACAAAATTCCTAGACTGGGGTCAGAAGATCAAGATTTAAGGCTCACTTACTCATATGTCATCCTAACTCCCAGTGCCCTTCCTTCACCCATATAAAAGAAAGCTAATAACAGTCGTCCTATTTTCTCATCGAATTGTACAAGGAGTTGAGGAAATAATAATACACGAATTTGCCTTGGGAACATAATACAACTAGGGGGTATGCTTTTACTGGGCCTCCCAGGGATCTCTCAGGCACAAGGCTGGCTCTCTGACAGACACTCTGTGAGATCCAGGTGGGAGGGTGGCTGGTCACTCTCTTTGATCTCAAACACTTCTGAATAGAGCACCCTGACCTCTAACTCCCCCTTACAATCTGAGATATACTGTTGGAGGCAAGAATTCCAGGCCAACAAATGTCACCATTGACTATTCAAAGGAACCCAGGAAATGTATGCAACTCTTCTATAAAGCCCATGACATGAGTCAGAACTGAGGTTCTACCAGCTTAATCCTATAACTTTAGGATGCTGGGAGGGTACTTGTCTCTGGCAGGTAATAAACTCAGAGAAAACAGCCTTCTAAAGCCAGAGGCTTAAGATTCTCCCATGCATTCAGGCTTTCCCTCCCCTTCTAACTTCATTAAAAATCCAGTAGTTCAGGGATGGAATTCAAAGCTACCACTGGGCTTGCCTTTGTTTGGAGGACTAGATGGCTCCCTTCTACATGGGTAGTCTGAATTCCACACAGTTGTGTGTAGTTCCATTTCCCCACCCAACTAAGTTTATTAATGAGCTTTCGAGGCTTGAGGTCTGCTGTTTGGGAATTTTTCCCCCTCCTTCTTAGTGTAAAGTCAGCAGTCCTGATGAAAGAAAGTGAAGAATGTCAGTGGTATGGAATGTCTTTATGAAAAGCATTGGGTGGGCTTACTTGGGGACAGAAATGGGTTGTAAAAATGTTAAATGCTTTTCAGAATGTAAAGTAGTTCTATCTGTAGAGATTTGGGCTTTCTCCGCGCTCAGCTAAAGCTTAGGGTTTTTGTTTTTGTTTTTGTTTTTTTTTTAGTTTTTTGAGATACTTTCTTTTTACTTCTTTACTCAGGAGAACTGAGTAAAGGTATGATTCAGCCCAGACGCAGGCTGTCCCCCTACAAGGAAAACGAAGTTAAAATCTTCAGACAACTTTTTCCCGTGAATGTTGAGACCTTTTAACATCCCCCTCATTGAAGAAAACAGTATGTTTGGGGATTTTCTGAGTTGACTTTCTACATTGATCTTAAAATTGTCCACACTTGCTACAGAGCACTTGCATTTTGCTTCTGCTTCGTTATCTCTGATCAGAAATCACGTCGTATCATTGGTGGTTTCATCATTTTCAAGAAAGTGAAACTTTACTCATGTATTTCTTTAACTGGAAATTCAGCTCCTAGATTTTATTTCCTAGTAGCTACAAACAACTGTGTTGAATTTTCACTTTTAATTTTCCACTACCCACTGTTCATAAAACATCTTAAAGTCAGAAGCTAACATTGGTCTTTTGCTAACTTCATATCTTGCTTGGTCTTTGTCCCAGCCCACTTGAAGGTTGGAGGTATACGGCTGGGCTTCAGGACCAGATGTTCCCAGTGACAAGCTGAGTACCCACCGAGAAGCCACTCATGCTTTCAGGGCCTCAGTCTCCTCATCTGTGAAATGAGACCCATACCACCTGCCCGAGTTCCCTTACAGGGCTGTCAGGAAGGTCAGATGAGATTCATGAAGGTGAGTTTACACACATCCTGAGTCCCCAGTACTACTATGATTCCACTTTCCCCATTTCGAGGGAACTCAATGCTGTTGTCAATACAGCTTATTTATCAGGAATTAACTGGAACCCTCAAGATATTCAGGTCAGTCACAGCTTCTTTTGCACTTTGATTGACCCCAGGCTCCCCACACACCAGGTCAATTCCACCCCTCTATTTGCTGGCACCAGCTTGTCTCCTCTGGTAGAAAATAACTAGTTCTCACTAATGAAACCATTTCTGGTTTCTGTGGTGTCCTGGCTATGTACTTCCTCCTTTCCAGGATGGGTGACACTTGGAGTCACTGACCCTGCTCCATGCCCAGCCATTTGAAAAAGGAAGAAATCCTGGACTCTATCTAATGAAACAGAACACCTAATATTAGAGTCACCTAGGTCACGTCTTTATTTGTAATTAAGTAAAATGAGGTCCAGGAAGGTAGTGACTTGCCCAAGACCAAAGCTGGCGAGTGGTCCAGCTCGGGCCAAGCTGCTGACCACCCACCCACTGCTAATTTTCTTCCATCACCAACAGAGATCCAACTAACAAAGCAACTGGCCAGGTAGATTAAGGATCAAGTCAAGTAACCTGGCACCCACCAGAGGAGGCTTTGACAGAATTAGACCAGGAGGGAGTATAGAAGGAAGAGAACAGGGAGAGAGAAGGGGTTAGACCAGTGGTTCTCAACCTTCCTAATGCCTCGACTCTTTAATACAGAGTCGAGGCATGTTGTGGTGACCCCCAACCATAAAATTATTTTCGTTGCTACTTCATAACGTAATTTTGCACTGTTATGAATTGTAATGTAAATATCTGATATGCAGGATGTATTTTCATTGTTACAAATTGAACATAATTAAAGCATAGTGATTAATCACAAAAACAATATGTAATTATATATGTGTTTTCCGATGGTCTTAGGCGACCCCTGTGAAAGGGTCGTTTGACCCCCAAAGGGGTCGAGACCCACAGGTTGAGAAACACTGGGTTAGACAGAAGGATCCAAAGGCAAGGTAGCTGCCACAGGTGCTGAGTGCTGTGTCTTATCCACATGGTGGGCCTGGAGTGTTACCTGCCATGTTATCTCTGAAACCAGCTAGATACTTACAACTGCAAAACCTATACTCACCCCAGTCTTGGTCTGGAATATCCTGAAAGCAAGAGCCTCTGTGTTGTAGCATTATTCTACAACAAGTGCTAAATGCAACACAAGGAGACAGTAATATCAATTCCCCCTTCATTTAAAGTTGAGAAAACAGAGGTAACTGTCAGCCACAATGAAATAGGTGCATTGGGAGAAAACGTGGCAGGCAGCACTTCAGGCTCACAGTGTGGGCAAGAAATATACCTGTGGCCACAATTGGAGCCTTTGGATCCTTCCTGTCTTAACCGCCCCCCCCTTCTCCCTGGCTCTTGGCTCTCCCCCCCATCCCCATCCCCACCCACCCCCTATGCTTTAGCAACTCCTTTATTTGTAAGGAAGCATATGTGATCTAGGTAATGAAATTACAGAAAAGAAAGCGGTTAGGAAGTAAGCAGATGAGATGGAAATGGGGTATGGAGGAGCAGAGAAGGAGAACCAATCCAAATGGAAAGAAAGCTGGAAAAGGAAGAGATGTGCAATAGAGAAGTCTCCATTCCCCCTTTGCCTCAGAGGCTGGTCAGTGACATTAGATAAGAGACTCCCTCATTCAAGTCATACAAGACCCCCTACTACCTCCCCCCTTTTTGAAATTACACCACTCTAGAATCTGAAAATCTTCTGGCCAGTAAGGACCTTAACGGTTATCTGGTCCAAACACCGTCTTGCCCTGGCAAACAGGCAGAGGGGGCCAGCACTGTGCAAGTGCCCACATCTCCCAGCAGGGGATACTGAGGCCTCAGGGTCATGGCCACTAGACCACAAAGCCATTCTCTCAATTATGAACATGTGGCTTCGCACCTTCGCTTTCCCTACGGCGGGTCTCCATGGAGGAAAAGCGGAGAAATCTGAGAACCCGCCACAGGAAGAACCAAAGCCACAGGTATGAGAGAAAGGCGTGAGCGACTTGGGACAGGAAGTCTCAGGCCCAGGAGCCCGACCCGTCTGTGCCGGGAGCCCTCTCCGTCTTCTGCCGAACGACAGGACCGGAGCGCCCGCCACCTCTAAACTTAATCCCAACTAACTTTCGCTCCGGCTGCCTGCGCTGTCCTGCTGCCCCGCGCTTCCGAGTGCGCAGGGCGACTCCCAGCGGCTGCGGCCGCGGCCGCGGCCGCGAACCCGGTTCCTCGGTTCGGTTCCATTCATTCCGTTCGGCTCCTGGGGCAGCCCTGCCGTGAGCCCCCAGCTTCCGTGCCGCTCTGCGGATCTCGGGAAGGCTGGGATCGGGAGTGCCAGTACCGCGGCACCAAGCGAGGGATGGAGCGAACAGCGAGCTGGAGAGCCTCGGACACCCGTGCGCAACACACCTCCGCACGCCTGCTCCCAGAGGGGTGGGAAAGCGCCGAGGCGGAGAGGAGCGGTGTTCCCAGCCTAGCCGAGAAGCAGGAGCCCACCTCTCTATCAACAGGAACCCTTTGCGCCCCAAGTCAAAAGAGAAAGTTCTTGGCGAAAAACTTTCTGAAGCGCCGAAGAGCAGCGGTGGCTGGGAAAAGTTCGGCCAGAGTTCTTTAGAAGCCGGAGGCTGGGGTCGCGGGTCGGGGCTGGGCCCAGGGGGCGCGGGACTAGTTACTATAGGGGCGCAAAGGGAATGAAAGCGAGCCACCCTCTCCGGCTCACTCACTCGACTTTCAAGCGCTCACCTCTGGTCTCCAATCGGAGCGGCCAGGGTCCGGAGGGCGGGCAGGGTCGGGACGGGGTCGGGCTGCCTGTCGGTGGGGCTGGCGGGCGAACACCCGGAGCGCACGGCCGGCGCGCGGGCAGACGGGTCCGCTGGGGCAGCGACTGGGAGAGTGCTGTGTAGTGCCCGCCTCGCTGCTTGCGACTGTGGCTGGGAGTGCGTTGCATCACCCCTTTTATAGCCCTCTGGCTGGCGCCGCGCCAGATTATACTCCAGTCCCAGGCTGATGTAATGCTATTAATAGCTTTCCCCGAGAACCAGCCGAACTAGACCGGGCAAGGGAGGGGGCTGGAGGAGGGGCCAAAGTGGAGGTGTTGGGGGGGGTTGGGGGGGGGAAGAGGTGGGGACTGGTGATGCAAGCGCGGGGAGGAGCCGGCCCGGGAGCGTCCTCCGGACTCGCGCGCTAGGACACAAACCTTCCCGCCCTCTCTCTCCATATCAGGACAGGAGTCGCTCGGGCTGGCCGCCAGATGTGCGTACTCGCTGCTGCGTGTTCCAGGCATGAGCCAATGGTGCCCAAGCCAGCTGCATGACTCCACCGCGCTGGCATCTCTCCCTCCGCTAGGTGGGGGGACAGGGGCGGGAGGAGGGAGAGGTGAGGGGGGACGGCGTGGGGTGGATCTTGGCCGCAATCCAGTCGAGGTGAAGCTGGGAAGCAGGCACATCCTTTCTCTAAAATGAGTGATCATTTTTTGGAGCTTCGGGAAAATACCCCCTCCCCCGCCAAACGCCTCCTTCCACGTAGGGGGCGGGGTAAGAACTGTAGGGTTAGCCTCTGTTGCCAGAGAGGTGCCCAGAGGCACCTACAGCGAACCCACACCGTTACCCGCCGTGGGTGACCTCCGCGGCTGGGACCGCGAGAAGTTGGCGAGTTAACCCAGAGCAGAGTGCAGTGCTCGGCGGGCAAGGTGGGCTCGAAGCCTCGTCGCACCCCGCCCAGGGCAAATGTAACAGCCCCGAGGCGGGTTGGGAACCCGACCCCCGGCGAGGGCAAATAGGACCTTAAGGGTTAGGATTCTTTTTTTTCTTTAAAAAAACACAAGCGTTTGAAATTGATAGTGAAATGAAAATGACCATGGAAAGATGAGAGCTGGAGAAATCAGAGGCAACCCAGAGAGGGACTCAGAGTGGGGCTGAAGCCTCGAGGCCAGGGAGAGGAGGAAAGATGAGGTGCGTTGGTCTTATTTAGGTGCTTAGGGAAAGCGGTCTTGGGCTTTCACGTATTTTGTCACGCCCAGAGCGACTGGGCTGGGACCGGACCGCGGGGACTGGGGACGCGCGGACAGCTGCGGAAATGAGGCCCCCGAGTGTGGCGGGAGAGGCGGTGTCCCGTGAACCCAGGTCCCAGCCGAGGCTTCAGCAGAACTGGATTTGAACCTTAAAATGACTCCTTTGTTCGGATTCCCCGACCTTAGCTGTCTCGCCGGCCCATGGACGCATATATGTGGAAGCGAGTGTGCCCCTCGCTGTTTTTGAACCTGCCAGGGAGGGAGACCCGTGCGTGCCCGTGGGGTGTGGGGGCACAGCCGGGGGCAGAAGCAACTGCTTCCGGCTGCCTCTTGGAAGCGAGGCGAGCGAAGGTCCAAGTTTAGTAATTTGGGGTGAGAACCAGAAGGGTCTCGCTCGCTCGCAGCCCCACCCCACGCACCTGCAGTCTTCTGCTCTTAAGGTGGTGATGGAGGGTCCCGTCAGCCTGTCTCGCTCGCTCTCTCCCTCACCCCTTACACACACACACACACACACACACACACACACACACACACACAGTATCTGTGTCCCTTTCTCCGGCCCCTCCGATTGTCCAACAGCCTGGGGCAGAGACCCTCAGAGCTGCAGGTAACCGCGTCTCCCGCATCCGGCTTCCTCTTCCTAACCCCAGCCTCACCCAGAACACCACCCCCCACCCCCGCGCCCCGGGCCCCAAGTTTCGGGCTCAGGACACGCCGAGGGCGACCTCGGAAATTCCTTCTGTCCCAGGCCCGACCTGGAACCCCGGGGTTCCCCGCAGGATCCCCGAGAATGTTGTTCGGGACGGGATAGGGTTTACAGCTGTGTCGCGCGGGAAGCACTGGGCGATTGTTTTGCTTTACTTTTCTCCATGGTAACGGCTCTCCCGGCCACACCCTCCACACCCAGCCCCCTCCCGCACTCAGCGCCCCACACCCCCAGACCCGCCCTCCCGCCAACGCGTCGCGTAGGCTGGTAAACTCCGGGCGGGCAGGCAAACTAGATTCGAATGAAAGGCGTTTGTCCATTTAAATGAAAGGTATTTGGGACTCTCTATTTATTGGGTCTACTTATCTACTGCCTGGGATAAAAGACACCATTATAAAGAGAAATGAGATGGGGGAGGACACGTGAGAGCTTTCCCCTTCTGTTCCTCTGTGAAATCTTTAACCAGTTTACATTTTAAACTCTGAGCCACTCATACACCCAAGCCAGATGTGTGGAGGTGAAGTCCAGTCCTGTAGGGGAAATATAACTTCAGGAGTCGGATACACAACAGCCAGACCAGCCTGCGCAAACCAGTGCAAGAGGAGGGTAATGAAGACGGAGAAGTCCGCAGCCTCTGCGGTTTGTTTTTGTTACCATAGTGCCTCCTGTTCCTCTTAGGAGTCTTGTTTCATTCTAATAATTCTTGTTTTTGAATCTTCAAGTCACACCTGGATAGAAATGCGGCCAGCTGGTCACAAGTCTGAGGCTGCTTTCTCTGCCAGCTTTCCCACTGAAACTCTAAAAGCGATAAGAATCTAGACACAGAAGTCAGTCCACCCCCTTGTGAATGAAACTCTTATCTAAGAAAAACAGAAAGGACGCCTGCCTGCCTCCCTGCCCCCAGCCCTCCGGAGAGCTGTGAAATGCCTGTCCAATGGCGGACTGGGAAAGTGGAAAGGAAGCGCCCCAAGGTCTGTGTCGCTGAGGGGTGAACAGTACCTGCGTCCTGTGCGTCCTCAGTTTACCCTGATTTAGTCCTGTGTGCACCCTCCACACCGTGAGGAGGGGCAAGAATAGCTCCCCAGACTACAATGCTTCTCTACACAAAAGCAAAGAGTCGCTGCCTCCGGAGAAGGAAGCCCTGGCTTTGGTTATTTCAGGGGTTAATCCTCAGTGAAGAGGGTGAAGCAGAGACTTGAATATTGTTGAGGTTTCATGCTGGAGAACCGCCTGGGGAATCCACATTCAGACCAGCCTTAGTATGTTTTGCCGAGTGAGATAAGAACTGGAAACTTCATGTTGGGGCATGTGCAAAAGGAAGGGAAAAATGTTAAAAGGGGAGGGGTTGGAACTAGGCAGCTAAAAACAGCCCACTCGTGGCAACCGAATCTAAACACCAAACATTGCAGGGAGCCAAAAAAAAAAGTCCAGAGATATTTAAAGATTTTAGCAGTTTCTTAGTCCAGGGAACAGTTTCTTTCCACTCCTCCCCCCACCCCATTACTCTTCTTCAAACCCCAAGATTGTATTACTCACAGAGCTCTGGAGAGGCACATTAAACACAAGTTAAAGTTAGTCAGGCACTAGCAGTAAGTCAGTCCTCGTGGCTCAACCCATTTCACCTCAGAAAGTGTGGGGTAGCCCGGCCCGTGTGGCTCAGTGGTTGAGTGTGGACCTCGGAACCAGGAAGTCACAGTTTGATTCCTGGTCAGGGCACATGCCCGGGCCACACTGGGCTCTCCATCCCAGTGTGGGGCATGCAGGAGGCAGCCAATCAATGATTGTCATAATTGATCTCTCTCTCTCTCTCTCTCTCTCTCTCTCTCTCTCTCCCCCCCACCCCTTCCTCTCTGAAATCAATAAGAATCTATTTTTTTAAAAATATATTTTATTGATTTTTTACAGAGAGGAAGGGAGAGAGATAGATAGTCAGAAACATCGATGGGAGAGAAACATCGATCAGCTGCCTCCTGCACACCTCCCACTGGGGATGTGCCCGCAACCCAGGTACATGCCCTTGACCGGAATCGAACCTGGGACCTTTCAGTCCGCAGGCCGACGCTCTATCCACTGAGCCAAACCGGTTTCGGCAAGAATCTATTTTTTTTAAAAAAAGAAAGTGTAGGGTACATTTTCTTTTCTATTCTGTTTTCCAAAGCCCACACTTGAACTCAATTTGAATAGTGGACATTACTAACTTCAGAGTCTACAAAATGGGCCTCCTTAGGAAACACGGGGAAGGATTGCATAATGGGCTTTGAAGTGTGGAACTGGCTGTGTCACCTTGCATAAGTCATCTCGCATTCTGGCTTAAGTTTCCTTAGCTCAAACAGAGCACCAATAACAGTATCAAACACGTAAGTTTGTTGGAAGGCTTCATGAGGATGGGGCACACAGCTGGTCCTCAGTAATGGTGTCCTTAATTATGAATCAAGGAGGGCTTTCTGGGGATACCCCTGAATCTCTCCCAGAGCCCATTCTATCCGCTAGTCTGTGACAAACAATTGTAGATGAAGTCAATGGAATGGTCATCTTCAGGGGCTTGGGGATACGACTCCACACACAGAAACCAATGAGCGTGATCCCTGTTCTCCACCCTCAGCAACTCTAGTAATTCAGGGGCTCTCCTCAGTGCATGGAGGACCAATGACCCATGCAAAATGTCCTGGGCTGGGAGCAGGAGATTTGGGTTTCGGTAGGGTTCTGCCTTTGGTATTCTTGAGCAGGACATTCCTCCCTTGGAAATGAGGAGCCCTGGGCTGAGCTTCTGTAGAGCCATCCTGAAAAACCCTGGCAATCTATCCTAACAGAGTTGGAGGGAGAGAAGGTGTCAGGGGGGAGGCACTGAATTGCACAACGACAGACCCATTTCCATAATCTCTTTTCCCCTCCAAAAAGCTAGAGAAATATTGTCTAACTTGACTCTCAAACACAGCCTATGGTCCTGACAACCTACTCCCCCTCTCTCTCAATCTCTCAACACTTCCAAGAAAATTTGCCCCTGAACTTTGTGCCTTATTAGAGAAGAGAGTGTAAGAGCCCCCAAGCAGGGATTGCATTGTTGGGACCTTTTTTGTGTGTAATCAATCTTCAACAGCCATAGACATCCACCTTGGACAGAGGACCAAAGCCCAGGTAGCAGCTACTCGCATTTAAGTGTG